GCGGGCAAAACACCTAGTTAATCAATAAAATAATATTTTTGATATATTATTCTTGGTTTACCGTATAATTGCATGTTTTGTACAATTATTTTCTGTTTCAATAGTATCACGGATAATGTTATATTATTTTATCCTAACAAATATCAGTAATTGTAAAAACTTGTAAAATCATTGTGGACCTTATTAATCATTTGTAAAAGTATTAAAATATTTATGAAACTTTATACATCGGTTATAAGAATATTAAAGATATATATTAAATTTTATAAGTTAATTTTAAAGGCTTATAAATCATTCTAACACAATGCATAATGATAATAAAGATTTTAAAACATTGAATGAATTTTAGAGATAAAACTCCTCAACAATTTTTGAATTGTAAAAAAAAAATCTTCAACTAAGTTTTCAACATTATATATCCTCAACTTATAAATTGATAACGTTTGTCATCCTCCGTCATGAATTTTTAAACGAAGTGTAATATACGTTAAAGGAACTAAAACTGAGAGTTTATTTCATGATTTTTAGTTGATTCTTTTTTTAAAAAAATTCATCTTTAGTTGAAGCGTTTAATTACTCAAACCCCTAATTCTTATACAAAACAAAAACCAAACTTTTGATATAAAAATATTAAATGCACGGCCAACTTTTGATATATGAAAATAGTGATAATTTTCTTAGCTGTCTAGATTTATTGTTAGTTATCGTTTATAAAGTTTATACATGCATTTTGTAGGGAAAACAATAATGCAAACCACAGACTATACAATATACCAAAAAAAACTCGTTTAATTTTTGATTTTTTTATATACATGTATTATTGTTTTAGTATTATATAAAATTGCAATGGGGCCGGACAAAAATCTATTATGGGACAAAACATCCAAAACTAATCTATAACATCCAAAAAAAATCTACCATGGACCAAAGGGTGTAAAATGACCATTTTATCATTAATGAGAGTTCAATGTAAGCCATTAGATTAGATAATGCGAGATGTAATCTGAGCCGTCGGATGATAAAAGAAAACTGGGTACAACTAGTATAACTCGTATAACTAAAAATGTTATATAACTAGTATAACTAATATATAAATATGTTATATAACTAGTATAACTAATATATAAATGTTATAATTCATGTACAATATGCAACTATTATAATTGAAACGACTAATAATAAGGTTTTACATATGAAATGAACAAACATATATCCTAATTGGTATATGATGACAAAATTTCATCTATTTTATTTGAAGTTTTTAATTTTTTTGTTAAATTATTACATTACACTCTTAATTTTACATTATATATATATATATATATATATATATATATATATTATATTTAAGGTTTGTTAAGTAAATTAGCTATTTTATTATGAAAATATTGGTACAACTTCTAAAATTAAACATATAAACAATTGATATAATTGTTGTAATTTTTTATTATATATTAAACGAGTATTATTGGTACAACTGGTACAATTTGGACATTTCAAAAATTGGCAAGCCAATTTGGTATTCCATATGAGAACATTATCAAACATCCAAAGTGGTATGTAGTCAGATTCTTTTCTCCTAATATATTTGAAGTTTTGAAAAAAAAATTGAAAATTATTACACAACTCCATAAGTTTATATAATATATACCTTATACTTTTAAGGTTTGTTAACTTCTTTGTCCACATATTTTTCGGAAAACATATATGAAATGCATTTTAACAAAATCGATGATCTCATTGTATTGGGCGAAGACATATATACACATAGAAAGGTGGTACAACTCAGGTAAGTTTAAATTTCATGTGGTACAACTAGTGTTTTTGATTTCACTGTCAAAGTACAACTATGTACAAAACGGTATAACTCAAAAACTAGTACAACTATTTACAAACTGCTACAACTTAAAAACTAGTACAACTATGTACAAACCGATACAACTCAATAACTCTTACAACTATTATATTGTTACATTAGTTTTACATTACATACCTTATATTTAAAGGTTTGTTAATTAGATTAGCTATATTTTTTTTATTTTTTTTTGTAATTATAATACAATCATATAAGTTTGCATAGTCTACCTTATATTTTTAAGGTTTGTCAACTTCTTTGTCCACATAACTTTTGGAAAACATACATGAAATGTATTTTAATAAAACTGGTGATTTCATTGTATTAGGGCATATGCATGTACACATAAAGAAATGGTACAACTGAAGTAAGTTTAAATTTTATGTGGTACAACTAGTTTTTTTTATTTCACTGCCGAAATACAACTATGTACAAATCGGTATAACTCAAAAACTAGTACAACTATGTACAAACAAGTACAACTATAATACTAGTGCAACTATGTTATTTCTTCTTGTATTGTGCATCATGTTTTAACGTGTATCATGTTTTAATCATTATAGTTGAATATTAAGATGAGTAGTTTTACTAGTTGTCTCCTCCTCATTTCCAACTGCCCCCTCATTTTCAACTGCATCATTCTCAAGCTTTTTCTTGCACTTACAATTCTCCTTAGTTGATTCCTCAACCGATATGGCATCACTCATGTCCTATATCATCTACAACAAAACATAGTAACCAGACAAATCATGTAAACATTTTCATTGATTATTCATCATCTGCTTCAGTTGTACTAGTAATACAACTGGTAAAACCACTAGTCCAAATATTATATAAAAAGGTTTAATATATTTTGACAAATTCATGCTTGATAAGATTAAACCAACATTTTCATTGATTCTACATCATCTGCTTCTACAACATCATTTAAAAGCTCAAACAAAAGCCTAATGTAACCATATTACTTGTAAAACTATACTAGTTATATACGTTCTAGTTTTTCTAATTATATTAGTTATACTAGTTATACACGTTTTAGTTGTACTAGTTATACCAGTTTCAGTTGTACTAGTTATACCAGTAATACTTTTTCGTTGTCGGAAATTTTGTTTTTGAAAGTGAGATTCAATTTTATATGAGAGAAAATGAATTGAGAATGATGAGAAATCGATCGATCTGCGATAAGAACAGAAATTTGTAAGATTTGGAGAAATTTTTTTGATTTGATTTAGATTATAGGATAGAATTTTTTTGATAAACTAAACATGTTAAAATCTGGGTTTTTTCTTTTATCCAAAAATGGAATTTTTGGATTGTGAGTTGTGATGAATAGATGAAAATGAAATAGTATACGAATGATAAAATGAATAATATTTGATTTTCATTTGATTTTCGAGATATTGTGATGAGAAAATGGAGATTACAATGGTGAAAGTAGCGTTGGAGAAGAAGATGAATTGGAGACTTAGGGATCCGAATTTAGTTGGATCTAGTAAATGGGTTTAGTGGTTGGGTCTGTAAATAAATAGAAGTTTTAGGTTTTAAGGATATTTTACCTATGTTTCTTTTTTAAAAAGAAAATCAAAATTAAATTAAATTAAGAAGGGTCTATTTTAGATTTTTTGATGTCCTTTTGTCCCATTTCAGCATTTGTTCCAATGGGGCCGGCATCTTAGCAAACTTGAACTGTAACATGTATCCATGTGTGGGGACAAGAGGAATCAAAGCTCCACTCCTTCCTCTGTTCTGTATTCATTAAGCAATTAGCGATTAACTAAAACCACTAGATCATCCGAAATTAAAGATCTTGACGATGATGATAAATCATTGGTGGTGGTGTCAAGATTTACTTTTAAACAAATAAACTAGATCTCGACCCGCACAACCGTGCGGGTATTTTAATACGAAAATATTTGAAATCATATAATACTCACTCCGTTTTAAATAGATGATGTTTTATAAGATTTATTTTATTTCAAAATATAAGATGTTTTGAGATTTTAAGGTATATTTTGAGGTTTTAAATTTATCATTAACTTTATTAGAAACTGTTCAACCGATAAAATATTACTCTTTTTAATAATTTGTTGAATGATTATAAATTAATATCTTTAAAAATAATTTTGTAAAAGAATGTAAATTTCTTAATTTTTGGGCTATGATCCAAAAAATCATATATTAAGTAACAGAGGGAGTAAAATTTATCAATAAATAAATATAATTTGATTGTATATACTAGTTAATTTTATAATAATATTTATGTAGCTTATAATATTTTTAATTTAAAATTTATAAATTTATATTTTTGTAACAATTGTTAAAAACATTATTATGTAATATTACTAATTCATATATTTTGTTTTGTTTCTAAATTTTAAATATAGAAAAAGTAAATTAAATTGGACCTACATAATACATAAAAAAATTTTGTATTTTTGTAACAATTTTTAAAAACATTATTATGTAATATTAGTAAGTTATATATTTTGTTTTATTTCTAAATTTTAAATATATAAAAAAAGTAAATTAAATTGGACCTACATAAATACATAAATAAAATTTTGGGATATTTTTAAAAGTATATTACATAATTTTAATTTTTTTTAAAAAAATGAATTAAATTTTAATTATATTCTATGATAATTAAATTTTTAATTAAATAATTTTTGAAACCATATCTTGAAAAGATTCTATCAGATTTTTAAAAGATTTTGTTAGAATTTTCTTAAAATTATTTATTTGTATTTCAAATAAAAATTAAAGATATGAAAAGATATTATAATGATGTTATGTAAATTTATATAAAATTTCTAAGGATGGTCCAAACTAAAAAATCACACATGAAGTGAGTCATGACTTCTCTTTTAATATAATAGATGTGCACGAGTGAAGGCACTTTTACCAATGCTAGAGCGACACGTTATCTATTTGCCATAATAAACCTGTAAGAGAAGTACGGACACAAAATCTTACAAAACTCTTTATTGTACTTTCCCCTGACTTTGCCATCTCGAGATGAGTTTCATTTGTATGAAGATGACTTTGATATTATGTAGCTTTAATTAGCGGATTACATTTAAGATTAATCTTCACTATGAGAATCTGTATGTATTTCTAAATATTTTTTGTATACAATTAGAACTAACTAATAGTGTGTTGTAAGAATGTTAAGCAAGTAAACTCTATATTGAACAAGAGACTTGAAAAGAGAATCAAGTGCAGCTTCAAGTCCCTCTGTTCTCTCCTCTAATATCTCCAGAGCCTTCTTCACTTCCATGGAGTTGTCTCCATCCGAACGCAAAACCAAATCCAAATTATGCAACTCGCTCATTATTGAAGACGATCGACCACCACCACCAATAAGCTTAGAGACAAATCTGAGAGTACATGTGTTTGTCTTCATGGAAGATGCTGTAGACAGAAACGTGAAAAGAGATCGAAAGAGGGAAACAGCCAACGTAGTGGTCTCAGAGCCATCCAGCTTCTTGAGGCCAAGAATAAGCTTGCTAGTCTCTTTCTTGATCTTTTTTCTGAATACAAAGTACTCTTTGATCTGAACCTCCATGGATTTGCCTTTTCTCCTAAGTGCAGATTGAAGGTTGAGGAGATGCTCTTTAAGAGTGAGGATAAGGTTTCTCGCTGCGTCACAAGAGTCTAGTAACGTGGTTGACACGTCAAGAGAACGTTCAGCTTGAGCGGTGGGAAGAGAGTGGTTGAGCTGGTGGAGGGAATGGTAAAGCTCAGAGAGGTTGAGTAATGAGATTTGAAGAGATTGAGAATCAGAGGATGAGGAGTTATGGCAAGTGTGTAGTTGAGAGAGTGCAGCTTGGAATTTAGCTGAGGGAGTATGGATTCTTGATGGGAGACTTATAGATCTAATGGGCATATGGAGATGGGTTTCAGAAAATGCCATGTTTCTTTGATTCTGCTGAAGGAAGGAGGAGAAGTAGGGTATATATATGAGTGAGGCATGTGAGGGAAACATGAGGATATTTAATATTAAATGTACAGTGAATGTTTAGTTAAGCCATGATGCACATGGTGGTGAAGGAAGCTTTGAATGCTCAAACGTGAAACTAACTTTAGAGGACCATAGCTCATAGAGCCATAACTAGATGTTGCCTTAGCTGAAGAGAATGGGCTTGTCAGAAGGAGACATGGAAACATTTGTTGCAGACCATTTCAGATTTCAACTCTCTTTTGTTTCATCCAATTGTCACATTGGTTTTGTTTGTTTGTTATGGCACATTCCCAAGACAGTTGTGAAGAGAAAGATGTAACTTGTAAACCCTAACAAAACTATTTTATTAAGAAAAATATTTATATAATATTGATTAGGATTTTAGGAGGGCGGTTCAATGTTTTGTCCCATGATTTAATCATTCAAACTTGTCATATTATAAGTTATTTGAAATAAATCTTTTGTTTGAATGCTTCAAGGCTGTCATCGGGTTCATGATCAACTTGAGGCATCGTTGGGCGAGAGACATGATTACGAATTAAGATAATAGTCTGTCTCCGTTACAAGAGCTATGCTTACATATTAAATTTGGTAACTTGATAAAATAATTACTATCAAGGATAGATCATGAGAGGATGTAATGTACGGTGAATCTTAAAAGTGGTACGTTTCAGACAAAAGATCTACACTGGATTTGATACATTGAACCTCGTCCTAAAAGTAAGATTTATTTCAAGAAGAATTGCTTCGCTAGAAAGAAAACAATGTAAGGTTAGTGACAGGCAGAAACAATTGTTTTCACTGAGAAACTTCAACAAGTTCCATGTACGTTGAAAATAGAAGACATGAACCTAACTGAGATCAACGGATTATACTGCACCTCTCACATGAGATTAATGATGGATTGGTTTGAAAACACTAAGGGACATTTGAGCTATCGATCTATATCTTATTTAGACATGATCATACAATACATGAAAGCTCAGTAACTGGGTTATGTTAAGCTTAACACACATGGATGAGCAGTTAGAATCATGAACAATGTTATGTCATGTTCACTACATAACTTCGGTCTTTTTTTCTTCATAATTTCTAAGACTAATGACGGTTTCTCTCGCTATTACATGCAAGTGGGGATATTACGTTGGTTTGAATATTAGTTTGCATCCATGATTTGCCAAACATAACGAACCGATAGTTGTGGGAAGTTATTGTTTTCCCTACCTACTAGCTGTAATTTCTTTGCCCATGCATACAAAGATACCTAATAACTTAAATATCCAATAACTTAATAACGTTAATACTAGTACTATTTTTTGTGAAATTGCATCCTATACACACCACTTTGATTCACCTCAAGCAAAGATAATTTATTACAAGGTTTAAACTAGATTGGGTTTTTCAAGGCTGGCATTGTTTATTTATGATCAATCCGAAGCATTGTGGACAAAAAAGACAAGATTATGAGATGAGATAATGGCATGTCCCATAGAATCTCTATTACTTTTCTTTTTGTCAAAAAAACTTTACAAGATTGATCATAAATAAAACAATGCCAGCCTTGAAAAAAAAGTAATAGAGATCCTATGGGACTATTGTAATGTACGGGGAATCTTTAAAAGTGGTACGTTTCAGACAAAAGGATCTTGATGGAGTTTGGTACATTGAACCTCGTCTCTTAGTCAATCCATGCTTGTTTGTTTCTAGTGAATCAGAAAAAAAAGGTATACTCTTCCATCTGAAAAGTCAAATGCATCTACAAGAACTTGGGCCTATAAAGAATACAGTTAAAAGCCCAAAAATTAGGCCTGTGAAAGATTCAAAGATTCTTTAGAGGTAGGGATGGGCACAAGCCGGGTACTTGCTATTTTAGCGATATTTTATACTTAACTTGTCTTATTCGAGTAATGAAATTTTCGACTTGTACTTGACTTGTTAAAAACGAATACTTGTTTTTCCGAGTACTTGCTGAAAAATAAATTACTTGCAAGTTACTTACCTTCATTTATTAATTGCTATTTGTAAATACTTGTGAGTTATGTGTGAGTGCTTGTGAATCTCTATAATATTATTTGAGAAGTCAGTTTCCTACGTGTCGCGCTCACGTTAACTCTCGTGATGGTTGATTACATAGATACCCTTAATGAATTGTTAGATTTTAAGATTATTATTTTTTTTAAAATTTCCTTTTTATCTTTTTTTTTTCCAAATAACATATAAAATAAAAAGGAAATATTTCTAAAATTTTAAAACAAATATAAAAACGAAAATATATGCATATAATATGATTTTATTAAAAAGGAAAGTTCACAAAATAGTAATACCCACATTAATATATATTTTTAAATAACATAAAATATATTTTCAAAATAATAAAAATATATCTGTTCATGAGCATTCAAAAATTTATCAGTTACACTTTATTTTCTAATATTTTTTAGAAATCAACATATAATTTGATAAATATTATGAAAATACANTCAGTTACACTTTATTTTCTAATATTTTTTAGAAATCAACATATAATTTGATAAATATTATGAAAATACATGTATATTTAAGCGATATATAAAACTAATTTGACTTAACTAAAATAAAGAGTAAATAAACATTATGAAAATGCATGTATATTTAAGCGATAAATAAAACTAATTTGATTTGACTTAACTAAAATAAAAAAGTAATTATACTTCAGTTTTAATTTAAAATATATTTAACTCAATATACTCACAAAAAGAACGACTCGACTAATCTAATTTATATCCAAAATTAAACATCTAACTACAGTAAGAACATATAATTTTATAATAATAATAATATAATAATAATAATAACAACAATAATAATAATCTATTTAATTTTATACATATAAATTAGAGGTTGACTCAAAGCATATTAAAAAGAAAAATAAAATATTAATCAATTAAAATTTAATTCTTTTGTAGAATTTATATATATGTATGATACTTCAAAATATTATCATTATATTCATTTATGTAATTTTGAATCAAACATTTCAACTTATTATTTATTTCATTTTAAGCAAAATATATATTAAGTTATACTTAATTTAACTATAATATATTTACATATCTACGAATATATTTACATATCTAATACAACACCAACGGAAATGAAAATAAGAAATTAATCAAAGTTTTATTATATTTAGAATTAAAATATTATAGCTGAATTCAAAAAATAGATATTATCCAATATACCAAATTGATAACCATACCGACTATTGATCCAAAAAAATAATTAAACAAACAATAATATATCCAAAGTCATATGTATAGAATAATATAATATTTATTAATATAAATTATACATACAAATTTATTCAAAACTAAAACTAAATATCAATCAATTATTATAAAGTTTTACTTTTATGAATATTCATACCCGTGTATGAGCACGGGAAATCACCTAGTTACATATATAATTACGAGTATTTAATGAATTATTTGCTCAACAGTTATTTACTAAAAAATGCACATAAAAGTTTATTTTGTTTATTCTACTTAAAAACATAAAAAATATAATAAACAGAATATTTGTACATGTTATAAAAAAGAAGAACCAAGAAAAAAAACATATCTCTATAATATTATTAAAATATCTGTTTTTATTTTCTTATTTTATTAATAGAATGATTATGTTTGTTAACTTTCCTTTTTATGTAATCAAATTATATAATGTTATTAAATTTTCGTTTTTTAGATTATTTTTTCCTTATTATTATATGTGTTATTAGGGAAAAAAAGGAAATTAAATTAAAATCTAATTAACAGAAATTATCAAATAAAAGAAGGAAATTGCATTAAATGTAATATTTGAATTCATTAAGAGTACCTATGTAATCAATTATCGCAAGAGTTAATGTGAGCGCGACACGTAGGAAACTGACTTCTCAAATAATATTATATACAAATATTTTTATATAATGTATTTTCATAAAAAAAGTTCATACAAATAATCTTGATATTAGAAAAAGAAATATGTTTTCTTTACAAAAATAATTTAAACAATAAAATATATAATATTATTTGAGAAGTCACTTTCTTAGGTGTCGCACTCACGTTAACTCTCACGCTGGTTGATTACTATGATACCCCTAATGAATTAAAATATATTTAAATATTATTATTTCCTTTATAAAATCTTCCAAATAACAATATAAAAAAAGGAAATAGTTAGAAATTTTACAAAACTATTTAAAAACGAAAAATATAAGTATATATATAATATGGTTTCATAAAAAAAGAAGTTTACAAAATAGTAATATTTAACATAAATATATTTTTAAATAACATAAATTATACTTTTTAAGCAATTATACCTTATATATATATCTTCTTAGATGAAAAAAATATTTTTATATTTATATTTGGAAGATTTAAAAAAAATAATAATAATATTTAAATATAATTTATAATATTATTTGAGAAGTCGCGCTCACGTTAACTCTCAGGCTGGTTGATTACTATGATACTCCTAATGAATTAAAAATATATTTAAATATTATTATTATTTTTTTAAAATCTTCCAAATATAAATATAAAACAAAAAGGAAATATTTCTAAAATTTACAAAACTATTTAAAAACGAAAAATAAGTATATATATAATATGGTTTCATAAAAAAGGAAAGTTTACAAAATAGTAATATTTAACTTAAATATATTTTTAAATAACATAAATTATACTTTTTAAGTAATTATACTTTATATCTATATCTTCTTAGATGAAAAAAANTTTACAAAACTATTTAAAAACGAAAAATAAGTATATATATAATATGGTTTCATAAAAAAGGAAAGTTTACAAAATAGTAATATTTAACTTAAATATATTTTTAAATAACATAAATTATACTTTTTAAGTAATTATACTTTATATCTATATCTTCTTAGATGAAAAAAATATTTGTATATAATGTGTTTTCATAAA